GACTAAATGAGTTGTCTGATAATTAGAATTCCTGCATCATCATGTAGTCATTGGTCAGTGGCAGACAGCTCCATCTCTCACTATCCAGTCCCATTCCCAGGCAAGTCTCCTTCAACATTCGCTCTCAAAGTCATTCATTATTTTACTTTTTTGGGTCTACTTTCTAAAGTTGGCCCTTGCTTTGCTAAAGTTAATCTCAGGATTTCATATCATGATATTAGAATATGATTTATTTTCCGTGTGCTCCAGTGATCAGTGATTTGGAAAGCTGGAGTTGGAGCATAGGAGTTGATTAACTTTTATCTCAAGAAGGTTGTTTTGCAGGAAGTAGTGTCTAAGCCTCCATACAGTTTATCTACATGTAAACAAGTTATCTCTCACTTGGCCTTCTACCAGCAATCTTTTTTAAATATTTGAATAGCAAGGGTTCTCACAATGTCATAAAAGTAAGCCTACCAATCTTTCAGCAGTGTAAAAAAATCATTAAAGATGGAGGGCTAAATCATTTTCACAATTTCTTCCTAAAAGTCAATAACAGCCATGTTTACACCCTGTTTGCTTTTATGTTAAAAAGGTTTGTGAAGTTTAGTATTTATTTTTGCCTACATAATCTAATTAGTACCTGATTTGTATTGATATTGAGCTGACAGAGACTCTGGCCTTATTAATAAATAAACAATGTAATATGGCTGCTTCTCTTCACCTGTCCTGTGCAAATGCCCATCATGCATTTATTTTGGGCTGGCTATAGGGCGCAAAACGTTACAAGCGTTGATGTTACTGGTTATTAATATTTAGGGTCAGAGTGCCTGGACTCAATCGAAACTTAGAGCTGTAAATGAGCTCCAAGAGTTAACACACACACACACACACACACACACACACACACACACACACACACACACACACACACACACACACACACACACACACTTAAAGTCCAGGAGTTCGCCTATGAAAAACAAATATGCAGCTGTAAATATATATAAATATATTGTGTAAATGAGAAAAAATAGCTATATACAGTATGAATGCTTTGTGAGAATGGAATCCATCACTAGCTGGGACATGCTAACGACCAACTGGACACATTTTGGTCTTGCTCATTAACATGATTGTGGTTGTACTGGGCAGAGTGGAAAGCTTTCAGGTGTAAATGTGTTTGGGTGGCAGCAGCTGGATCCTGGAAAAGAAAGCATTGCTCTCAGTGAAAATGTACTGATTAAAATTGTAGTTTGTTGTACAGCCTCATTATGACCTGCTTCATATATTTCACTTTGATTACAGTAAACAACAGCCCTTTTACAATACATTTATACACTCAAATAAAAAGTACAATATTAATCACCTGTTCCTTCACATGTTATTGAACAGCACCAGCAGTGGAGCTAATAGGCTCATTATCAGAGCTCTGCCACTGGCACAAGTAATTTATTGCAGACATTATTTTATTTATTTATATCCAACACAAAGTCCCAACCCATTAATACTAATGTATATGTATCTATACACATATATACAGTTTACGGTAATATGTATCATATTTGATGATGTTATAGTACAATAGCTGTTCATTAGTCTGCTTTAATGTGATACATTGCGTTTAATAAAAAACAGTAATGTTATTATTGTTAGCTTTACTGATCAAACCCAACTTATATTTTGTATAGAATCTATTTTCTCTTCTCTCAAACTTATCAGCAAATTCATTTAAAGTTAGTATGTTTTTGTTGTTGTTGTCTAATCTCATATACTTGTTGGCGAGCACAAGTGGAAATGACAGTAAATGGAGGGGATGAAAGAGAGTTGTCAAGTCTGTGACACATGGGATGCAACAGCGGCCAAAAACCACATTTCTCGCTCCATGCCAGCGCACCCATACTGAGGCCTCCATTCGACAGAAGAGATGCTGCCAACATCCATATTCATTACCACCAAGGCTGCCACAGTATTGCTGCGTTAATGATTCATAAATGGACGCATATGTGAAATATCAGCCTATATAAAACCTGTACATTACCAGATAATTGATGCCGCAGTTTGATGCGGTTGACATTACATACATTAGAATAAAAAGGGAACTTTTATAGTTTGTTGAGTTGCAGTCCATGAGTGCTTTTTGTTTTATTTTGTTGATTGTTTTGAGTTGGGAGTGAAAACCGCTTCAGTATGTTTCTGTCTGTCCTGCTGCCTTGCCACTTTGTTCATGGTCCAACTGTGACAGCAGTAACATCCTTGATCTGCCCGAGGCTTTGAATCTATTGCTCATTATAATTAAATAATTAATCCAGGAGAAATGTAATTAAAAAGGGCCTTGAACACTCAGTTATTTATTTTCTCTAGTGGGCCATCTATTGGGACTTTTGCTTTGGAAATCTTGGCAGCCTACACAATTCCACTTTTATAATACGTGATAAATATGTCCTAGAGTGTTCAAAGAAACTGATATGTAGTAGCAACGTTTATATTTATGTGCATGTGCAAAACTAAAAACTCTTTCAAAATGAATGAAAAAACAAGCAGGGGAGCTTTATATTTTATTTTTTTTATTTAACCTTTATTTAACCAGATAAAAAGCATTGAGATAAAATCTCATTTACAATGCTGACCTGGCCAAGAAGGCAGCAACGTTACCCATAACACATAACACAAACATATAAAATACAGAGAACATAACTAAGAAAACAAAAGACAAAAAAAGCGGTCACTACAGTGTGCACATTAGGACAGTAAGAAAGGCACTACTTATTACTGCAAGAGCAGCTGGTGGTAAGGACTTCTGACAACTTCAATTTAAAACAGGCTATAGAGACAAGTGCCGTCAGTTTGAGGCGTGATTGAAGGTCATTCCAAGACCAAGGACCATAATAAAAGAGACTCCTTTTCCCAGCCTCAGTCCGCACAGCAGGAACCTGGAACCGTATCCAGGCACTGGATCTGAGGTTGTAAGAGTCACAAACTGGAGCAAATCTGGCACATAAGTAGAGTGGAAGCTTACCTAAAATGGCTTTATACATTAATAAAAACCCATGCTGCATCCTACGCATAGTAAGTGAGGACCATCCAGTTAGGCTATACAGTTTGCAAATATATTATTTTGTAATAAAATGCCTTAGATAATCAGCAATGTACTGTAACTTGAACGTCATTGGTACCAAAACTCTCGTAAATCATGGTCACGTACATACAATTGCCTTATAGCAGGGCTTTGATAATGTGACATTAGTAGGCCACTGTGTTGTTGTTGCTGTAAATACAAATGTGAGACCTTAACATTAGACTATTCTACCTGCTTATTTACTAAACACCCAAATAATTACAGCTAAACTATAATCTAACAAGCATATAAACTGTGGATGGGAAATTTCTTTACAATGACTTCAAACATCAAAGGAAACTCCCGCACTGCCAACGGGTTTCTTCCAATGTCTGGGTGACAAGTGAGATGACCCAGATGAGAAAACATTTGCCACAGCTGCGTGGAGGATTTGCTGTTTATTATGGTGATCTGACAGGCTGGATGTGAATGAAACTTAAGAGGTTCTGGGCCATTCATACAGGCGAGACCTCTAATCGAATTGCTACCCATTAAACACACATCGACACACACAACCACCCCCACCCCGGGGCAAAGAGGCTTTGGTTGCCCCACTTGCAATTGCTGACCTGATTTTGCGTGCAACTTTGTGTTTTCGTTTTTGTGCCGAAGTGTGTTTATGAAGCAGATTAGGATGGTGGCATAGCCTGACTTCTGTAGCACTTATGAGTGTGTCTCTTTGATTGTAGACGCGTGTGTCTGCGCATGGGAATGTGGGGCAGCAGGGTATGTGGACGTTTTTTTTCTCCTGAACACGAGTCCCACATTTTCACACAACGCCCCTCCCCCACTAATTCAGAAGTTGAGTGGATTATTGCCCCAGTATCTGCCTTTGTGTCTTTGTGCCAGTTTGTCAAAGGAACTACTCAAAAGGGGGATTGATCTACTGTTGATCAACAAAACAGCCTGCATTTCTAAAAAATACATTTACTTTCTATCTGGGGCAACCGTCTGCAGACAGTTTTTGAGTCGCTGCTTTGCTCCCTCATGCAGATGGATCACTTTCTGTTAACCGCTCCAGCCATCTGGATTTCAGTAACTTTCCGATTCATAATTTTCCAGCACTAGCCAGATGGATGCAACACGCAGGTGCACCACCAACACATGTACACTTGTCGCATGGCTGATTGGAAACGGATGAATTTAACGAGTAGCAGGAAACGGCCCTGTGTTCTCCCTCCATTGGCTTATGCTGTACATCCTGCATTCACTATTCAAAGTGTGCTGGCTACCTTCCCAACACTGGTTTCCCCTTGTCCCCCAGGCGGTGTATATCCGTTTGCCCATTCTTCTGTTGGCCAGGCATCTCGGCGCCATATCCTCCAAAACCTGAAAAGAAAAAACAAAGTTATCATTATTCTATTAACTGTCTTAATATACCCATACCTTTTGGGAGATTCAATAATAATAAACACAATACTCTGGTTCCTGCTATGGATTTGTTCATACATGTTTGTTTCCTGCTTTGAATAGAGTCAAGAGTACCTTATGCATGGTTTAAAGTAGAGACATGTGATTTTCCATGTGTGATTGAAATTTGTGGCTGTGTACGGATTGCGTAAAGTCAGATTAATTTAGCCTTTATGTCTCTCACATGACCACGTGAAAGTATAAAGCCAGACTTACCGTGACAAAGCCTCAAGTCATCCTGTAAGCTGCTGGTTTAATCCCTAATGCTCCTCACAGTCAGACAGGCAACTAGTCCGGGACAGCAGGTGGTCAGAACTACCTTTAGTGTTGTTACTATTTATCAGGGCATATGGTCACGGCATATAGTGTGTGTGTGCGTCTGTTGTGTGTCTGACTGTGTTTGCTTTGTAGGATTTTCAACTACTGTACATTCTAAGTCAAATTATGCACACTGAAATCTAATCATCTATTTGTGTATTCTTTCCCCAGTTGTGTGTTTCCATGTCCCTCCATGCCTTTTTTGGCATCTAATGGAAGAAAAATCACACATCAGGTCCGCCATGGTATCCAGGCTGCCTAAGTTCGGTGGACGCTCCTCGACTGGTGCTGCCAGCCCCTTGTCCAATGGTTCTACACACCCGACCACCCCCACTCAGGATGGAAAGACCACTCCCTCAGGAACACGGCCGAATGGCGTAATCCGAGCCTCTTCATTTTCCTTCAAATGGAAGAGAGACGAGGGGACGAGCCCCACCAGCCCTGAGGATGGAGTTGAAGAAAAGGCTCAGACACTGCTCCCCCCTCTGGTAAAGGAGGTGAGAAATGGCTCTCCATCGACGCCCAAGATGCGGAGGTCAGGTGTTTTGACGGTGGCTGTCTCCAGTCCCAAGGCCATCCCCAAGCAATCTTTGAAGATGAGTCCCAAAATAGTGACCAAGCTAGACCAAAGCCCACTGAACGGAGGTCCTAAAATTGCAGCCCATAATGGCTTCAGCAGTCCAGTTCGAACGGGGTCAGAATCCCGACTTGTGCGGACGAGAGCAGGCTCCAGCTCTCCCAGAAGCAGCTCTCAAGACAGCCTGTCCCAGTCAAGTGACAGCCTGAAGACCTTGGCACTTGACAACATGGTGCGCTCAAACAGCTTCACTCACTTCAAGCAGATTCCCTCACCCACCAGCCAGCCTATGACGCGGTCCTTCTCCTTCAACCGGGCTGTAGAGCTAGCCAAGCCTCTGACAAACACTCAGCTCCGGCCTCCTCGCAGTAGTTTTCTCAAACCCCCTCAGCTGAGCAATGGAAGAGTGGGTTTAGGACTCGGAGGCCTGAATAGCGGCCTTGGAGGTTCAGGAGGTCTAGGTGGAGGACTTCAGTACAGTAGACCACCTTCAGCTGCCTCTTCTCTCCCCACTCTCTCAATCCCTCCAGCGCCCACTACTCCTAGTCCTCTGAGAAAGCCTCTGCTCCCCAGCTGTGTGCTCAACAAGTCATTGGGAAGCAGTGGTTTGTCTTTGGGCTACAGGCCGACTCGATCTGGGCAGACCAAGCAGCAAAAGCCACTTTTTCCATGTAGGGTCAAGGGGGATATCAGACCTTCAACTGCCCCTGAATTTGCAGGGCTATTAGGGATAGCAATAGACATTGAGCGGACTAGTGAGACTGCAAAAGCAGTCTCTCCCAGTGACAGTGATGGAAGCTCCGGAGGAGGAAAAGGAGGAAAAAGTGTGCTTAAGATCTCTGGCCAGACAGCAGGTGAGACTTTGGAGGACATGTCCTTATCCTCGGCCTCCTCTCTAGACAGAGGCGACACCAGTGAAGATTTTCTTGATGACTTTGACTGTCTGGGAGATGGGTTCAGTGATGGGGACCTGCCTGACAACAGAAGAACTGACAGCACTACTCAAACCCGCTTACACAGCTTTCTCAATGAGAGCCTTGACTGGGACACTATGGATCTGGCAGGTAAGATATTTTCGTAATTTCATTTAATGTTTGTTACATTTTTGTCCGTTTCTCAGACATGCGTTTATTTATCTTCTGCAGGACATAAAGAAGAGAGCCCTATGCAGGACTCTCAGGGACCGCTGGGCTTGTCTTCAGAGCCGGCTGACGTCCTTCAGGCTTCGTCTGTGGAGATGTCGCCCTCCAACAGCTCTGGTGGAACCTACATGTGGGATGAGGATGGTCTCGAGCCACTTGGGGGGCCGGGGACACATCCATGTGACAGCTATGATGATTCAGACCTCAACAGCATGGTGAGTCCCAGTTTCCAGCTTTGCCTTTTAATGTTGTTAATGTGTAACTTCACCCCAAGGTCTCAGCATTGCTTCACCCACTGAATAATTTAGAATTTTTTTTTAAGTCTGAGCCTTTGTGGGAGATAGGGAGGGGTTGAGCGGGGTGAGTGCATGGATGTGTGAAGCATGAGTTGCTCAGTGGGCGTTAAAATTAAACTATTTTTAGTTTACATTTCATGACACAAATTAGAATAAACCTGTCGACTCTGTCGGTATTATCCTGCAAGGTTCAGGGTGGAAAGATGGCCTGTTGAGTCATTTTCAATCTGTAAAATATATATTTCTAAAACATTTGTTCACAATATAGTCATATCATTTCCCAGCAGCTCAAAGCACCTTTAATATGTCAGTCCTAAAAAACGATTCTTATTAAAAACATTTGCCTTCAGTTTAATCCCTTCCCACTGTTGTCGGGGGTTTAAAAAATCATATCAAATTAACTTTTAATCAAGAACATTTGAGAATTAATCAAAAACTTCTCATATCTACTTAATATTATAACTCACTCAATATGAAATATGTCAGATTAACAACCTTCTCAGTAAGAAATATTTAGTTGATTGACTAATTGAAAGTCAATCAAATGACAGTTCCAGGTGTGACATTTTTGTTGTTGTATAATTTCATAATTATTCATATTTAAACTGATAAGGAAGTAAGCACTCCTGTTGAAGCAGCTGCCACGCATGCAATGTTCTCCACTCCTCTCTTAATGTGAAGTGGCACATCGCTCTGTGGCACATCTCAGACAGAAAGGGAAAGGGGAGGAGAACAGCCAAAAGCCTTTAGCGATAATGAGGTCAATAAGGCTAAAAACTTCAGCAGCACTTAAAGCTACTGCAGCTTTGCCTGATTGCTAGTTGGCGTAGTAGAATGTGCTAGTGTGAGTGAGAAGTGGGTTCATTTCCAAGAGTGAGAGGGTTGAAAGAAAGGTAAAGGGTATGACTTTAGTTTTTATGACATCTTGATAGCAGTACATGAGTACCAGCATCAGAAGGCAATCTCAAGTAATTCAAAAATATAGGCCTGCAGCAAACATTACATACAAACATAATTATGTACCTAATGTAAGCTTCAGGAGCACACTTTAGATTATCCTCAATCAGGGTGTGAGGAAGCTTATGTTTGCAGGCCCCTTAGTTTCATTTTGATCCTATTTAATATGAAATTATACTAATTTGTTTTACATTAAAACATACAAATATTCAGTATTATGAAATTTCAACTTTCATCTCTTTGGTCGGTGATTAAAAAAGTTACGATTTTTGTAAGAGTTAGTCTATCGAAGTGTTGGTTTACAATAATGCAGGTGTGTTTTCTGATGTCATTAAGTGTAATTTCCCTTTTTATAGGGGTTCGACTTTGTTCAGCTAATACACTTTTAGGCTACTACCAAGTACATATACTGTACCTGATTACAACTTCAGGAACCTTTAGCAGAACACACACACACACACACACACACACACACACACACACACACACACACTATACATTGTTTAGTCCATTAATCAGTTCCACTTTTTAAAGATTCCTCCTTCCTTTTATAATTAGGGATTAAACGAGCAGAACAAAGGCTGAAAAGGAAAGCAAAAGTGTCTCGAGGTTTCTGCCAGCTCTCACTGCATTTTTCCTGCCAAGGCTTCTCTCTCCCTTAGAGGAATGCTGACCCGGCCACCGACTGTGTGGTAATAGCATTGCTGGCCTTCTCTTTGGCTCTCTGTACTCCTGTACCCCGGCACCTGATCGCAGGAATGCGCAAAGAGCTTAAAATGAGCTGGACTAGAAATAATATTATACGCTTTATGTGTTTACTGTTATACCATGTGATGGAGACGAAAACTCTGAGCCACTGAACATTTAACTTGTTTATCTCACAATAGTGGTATTTGTAATGGTAATTTGGCAAAGTTATCAAAACAATAAGAAAAGGACAAGAGGTGTGTGTGTGTGTGTGTGTGTGTGTGTGTGTGTGTGTGTGTGTGTGTGTGTGTGTGTGTGTGTGTGTGTGTGTGTGTGTGTGTGTGTGTGTGTGTGTGTGTGTGTGTGTGTGTGTGTGTGTGTGTGTGTGTGTGTGTGTGTGTGTGTGTGCATTGGTGCTGTCATGTGGTAGACTTGTCATGTGACTTGAGAGTCCTTTATTTGTTTATAAGTATGTTCTTTTATCCAATCCTACGTTTAATCAAATATTGTGCTTCCCAAGTACAACGTAACTTGATAGCAGTGCTTACATCTTTTGATAATATTGTGAGAATAATCAGATATAGATTGGAGAATTTTAATCAGTGCTAGTCAAAGTATCTTCTTCTGAATGTACCACAAAACAGTTCAGAAGTACAAGATGATCTTTGCATGGCTTTGCAGGATTTACTACGGCAACATTATTATACTTATAATATAATATCCTGTATTTTGCAATTAAAATAACTGTGCAAAGAGTTTGGGATTTAAATATTTGAAGTCAAAATCCAATGCTGGGATATTCTGCAGAATGAAAAGGCCACAGGGCTGCTAGTTTGTATTTAACTAGATGATGTGTGTCCCCTGTGACTATAATCAGTAGCAGCCATCTTGCCGCTCTAGGCCAATGCAACAAAACCCAGCACTGCTACAAATCTGTAGATACATAAATGATTTCAGCTTTGGGGCTTGTGTGAAACCTTTCTAAAGAGGAACAATATGAATAAAGAAGAATAGGGTGAGATTCAGTGACTGATAGCTGATGTGTGAAGATCGGCTCTATGGGGAATCTGCCTTTGAGATATTTAACTGGGCTATTTGATTAGAGGAAATGAGCCCACTTACTGTAATTAGATGCACTGAGCTCTCTATTCCACCCTTTTCATCCTATTTTCTTCCCATCTGTCTCTCTCTCTCTCTTACTCCTTCTGCCATTGTTCACTGGAAATAGTAAATAGTTTCTTGGAAAACCACAAATATATGCCATGTTTACACGGAGACGAAACGGGTTGTATCCGCTACAGTTCTCTATCGTAAGGACGGTTCGCCCACACGAGGCCGTAACGGAACCGCGGAAACGGAGCCTTCAAAAGATAACGGCTCCCAAGGTGGGTAGATCTTCGGACGAAACGCTCTAGGGGGCCAAATTGCTCCGTGTGTACGTCCTATACCATCATTTCCTGATAACGATGACGCCATAGCCCCGCCTCTCCCCACCTCTGCTGCTCACCCCTGCGTCACCCGCGTCATTGCTGATGTGTTTCGCCAACAGCAACAATGGCGGGTCACAGGGTTGCTTTCGTGCTCCAGATGCTACTGACCATGCTACAGATGTTGGACATGGAGAACTACATGAACTACATGTTGCTAAATCCACCATGGAGAATAAACAGAAGGGCAACCAGGCAACCATGGCAACCATGCTCGGGAGGTCTTATTCGCTGCTTTTGGTGTATTTTGTGGCGGAAGTACAGCGCCACTTACAGACAGACACGTTTCTTGAGCCGATTCCGTGTGGACGGCAGACTTTTTTGATATCGACTAAGGTTCGTTTTCCGTTTCGTTTCCGTGTAAACGTGGCCATAATCTTGTCACAAAGCAGTGTCTGTGTCCAATTTTTTAATTTGTGATTCTTTCAGATTTATGCTGCATAATCCATGTGGTCTGTAAGGACAGTGACAGTCTGTTAGGAGTTGAATGAAAGGCCAGGAGTTTGCTGATAGCTTTTCTTTTAGTCTTGTGAATGCATAAGCCTGCTGCTCTGAATGAGATGCTAGGGTTATTCAAAATGAAAGGCATGTAATCATGGCTGTGAGAAAAAAAGTACAGTTGAATCCTCTTAAAGAAGAACGCAACTAGTGTTTATAGCATTTATGTAAGCAAAACTCTCGCTGTGTTTGTTCCTTGTTGGCATGAAAGATTGAATAAGATATTAAGCTCCTGGCAGGTTTAATGTTACACTGCAGTGGCGGGCACAGTCCACTTGGAGGCACTGTGTTTCCTTACGACAACACAGTGTGGCTGCTATAGTGTTCCTGGCTTGTGTGTCCCAGTATCTTTCCGGCTATAAATGGCTCCATCTGCATTCTTTTGCCTCTATGCAAAATCAAGGAGGGAGCTACCTGAGCTGATAATAACACTCCCATGATGCACCATGCAGCTCAGTACAGTACCAGCTTTACAAAATTGGCATTTTGAGATGGAGGGACCCTTCTCACAGCGCCTGTTAATGTTTCCCTGGCCTCAGCGCAATTCATCATGCAGCGCAACGGCATCTCTAGTCCAGGAAACTATTTATATTTAAATGGTAGAAGCATTTTGGAGTGTCTGAGAATACTTATTATGTTGTCAGTCATAAATGGAAAGGATCCTAGAAAAAAAGCTGTGAAAATATATAAATGTATTCGTGCAGCTTATGTGTTTTTTCTCTAAACTGTGTCAAAGGATGGAATTAGCAGTTTGGCTGTTAAAGGGTTTGTTGTTGGGGTGTTTTTGGATTGATTTATATTGTTAACTGCATACCTTTTATCCCCTCTCAGTATTTGCCAAATACTATGTTCAACTTGAATACAACATGAATAGAATCAACAGATCTACCAACTTTGGATTTAGTAAAGCTTATTGTTATGGTGTTTTAGAATGCCTCTTAATAACAGAAGTACATTACCTTTTTAACTACAGCCCCTTGTCCCTCCTCGCAGCATGAAACCTTGCTCGAAATGTGTTGCAGCTGCTGCCATTTTCTCTAGTTTAGCAGTTTGGTTTTCGTGTGAATGTTTTACCCATTTCCCTTTCTGTGTATTACCCAAAGTCCTGGTGGTACCGTAATCCTTCCAGCTTCCTCAAAGCTGCACAGTTACCGCTGCCTCTTATCCCTGATTTATTTATTTTGCCTCTAATTTTAGGCTTTTGTGGAGCAAGGTTGAGACAGGTCATTTCATTAGTGTTTAAATGAGTGAGGTGCTTAAGCCTTTTGTCTGCAGTCCTCAGCCATTTATGGAACAAGCTGCCAGTGAACCGGCTATGCTGCTGCATTAATGAGGCTTATAGCTCACCTGCTTTTGTTTTCTTTATTTTAATTTGACAGCAGCAGCCTGTGAAGGTAAACAATGGTTCTCTGTGTAACCCCTTTTGCTGCATTCAGTGCTTTCAATAGAGACCATCCCAAACTACTTCTGACAACAGCAGTGTGAGTCATTCCCAAATTACAGCCTACACTTCTATCATTATCCTCCATGACTCCCTTTAGTTTCCGACCACAGTCGTGACTATTATTTTACCAGCAATCATTATCATGCTGCTTATTATAACCACTTCTCTCAACACAGGCTCACATTTAGAAAATCGTATTGGCTGCTTATTTGGTCCCTATGAGAGATGAAGGCAATATATTAGCTGATTAGAAACATAAAAGCAAAACCATTTTCACCGACAAGTCTTGGTTGATTTAGTATAATCAGTTTATTGACTGTGTTTTACCTGCAGTTACATGATTAACAATGACATAGCCCCCACACTGTGTCAGTAACAGGTTACATTAATATTACCTCTAACTCATTTTCAAAGCGTAACCTCAATCTAAAGTTTCATTTAGGACTCGATACACTAAATCATGGAGATAAGGCCTTGAATCTGCTATTAAATTATTTAAAAGGAAGTTTCCAAAGAAAAGCAGGTTTAACAAATCTTGTTTGAGAGACAGATGCTGCAGTTATAACAAAAAAAAAGCATAATCAGTGGCGGACTATTTATAGCTAGGAAAGGTGACCCATTGAATTATTGGTTAATAATGCATAATACAGGTGCAACGTTATGTGTATAACATAGTAATTGTTTTTTGTTTCAGTTCAAATGTGCCGCATTCAAGACCACCAATATACATTATGTGACACTGTCCAAAACTCTGTAGGCTGCAATATCAATTACATTAGATAATCATTCATATAACAGAAACAGACTTTTCAAAATACTCAATTCTAGAGAGTAGAGTAATGTATTTCTCACTGTCAGCACCAACCTTATTAAACACTTGATTTGTTGAATCTCTCCCCACTCCATGTCCAATTCAACTTGCAGTATTCTCATTTACATTTCATGCGCCTTGTGATTTTTAAATTATGCCGATGAAATTCAGTATCTAGTCTCTCATGGATATTTGATTTTCTTCTTCTTGCAGTAGTTTAATTCAGCTCACTGGTAAGGCTTGGGTGAAACGTAATCTGCTTTTACTAACAGAATTGTAATCACATTTCTACAAAATATTCTTTTAGTTTTTGCACAAAAATGTAATATTTCTACAGAGCTTTGGATTTGTAATGGCTTTATTTGCAACTGTGGTGTTTACCTTATTAACAGACACAGTTACTCCCCACAGTATTTTCACTCTCTGTGTTGCATTTTGTATCTAACAAATGAGGAAAACTAAATAGAGAAACGATAAATTAAGCAAAACGATCGCAGTACCTCTCTCTCAATAGAAGGTCATTCAAATTAAGCAGGGCACTAATTGTGTACTATTAAAAGCAATAAACAACTCAATAAAACGACTTAGGTAAAAGGTGCAGTTATTGTTATCAGTCTAAGTAACAAAGCCTTTTCATAAAGCAGTGCAATGGTTAAACTGAAGCCTGAGGTGCCTGCTTGTTGGC